AATGTGTTAGCTAAAAAAAAGCCTGCAGGCGAAATATCTTTTCAATAAAGATACCAAGGCGTTGCAAATGTGTCTTCAAAACATAGGAAACGTGGTTATCATTTAGGTGGGAAGGGATGGGATATTCCATGGGCCGTGCTGCGTGATTACTTCTCAAGTACACTTCATGGACGAAGACACCAGCATTTATTTGTTATTAAATTAAGAGGGCATTTACTTGGGTCAACACTTCGGCGCTGTTGCAAACTGAATTGCTTTTTGCAGTTGTTACTGTAGCGGTATCTGTTATTGTAACCACAGTGGTTTTTTTCCAGCTGTTACCCTTTCTGTAGCTGCTGTTTCGTGTGCTTCTTTAGTTTTTGTCTTTGTACCTGGCCATGCTTCCGGTGCAGAATATAATTAACATGGTGCTGCAGTAACTACTGCTGTTGCTGCTGCGGCCAAGAAAACTGTCAGTCTCTGGCTGAATAAATATATCTACATTACTTGTTTGTGACTTGTTATAATTAATTCTCTCTCTCTCCATCATTAATTATCCCTGCACTGATTATAGCAGCTACGTGCTTAACGTAACCATTACATAAATTTACAACACTAAAATCACCGTATCTTCTCATCGTACTAGTATGCCACGCTTGATAACTTTTCTATTTGATTTGTTCAAATAGCACTCATTCTGTCGAGTTCAGTATATCTGTGAGTATGTGTTGTGGTGACTACTGAACTCACTACATCTTCATTTAGATTTTTTCCTTGCCAATAGTCTGTTTACGTACCTAATCGCATAGATGGTACGTTTACGTAACTAATCGCATAGATGGTACTGAACAACTGGCTTTAAGCCAGTGGTTGTTTAAGCCAGTGGTTGTTCAGTGATGCCAAGTACCGGTAAGCCAGCGTAGGCTTAACCAGTTAGTTTAATATCTTTATTATGCACACCATACCCATCCTGTGGGTGGTAGTCAAAGTCAAAGGATTACAGACGTACATAATGGGTCCATGGACTGGGCCCCAAAGTTTTGATAGATGAACAAGGTACAAAGGTAATGAATCATCTACACGTCTATACATGGTTACAATCATGAACAGATTAAAAAGTAATGAGCAATTCACACGTCCACACCCGGTCACAACTGAGTGTAAATATTAAATGGGTCACACACACACACACTGCAAGAAGGCCTTCGAAACAGTTCCTCACAGGAGACTAGTGCAGAAGCTGGAGGATAAGGTGCGTATAACAGGAAGGGCGCTGCAATGGATCAGAAAATACCTGACAGGGAGGCAACAACGAGTCATGGTACGTGATGAGGTATCACAGTGGGCACCTGTGGCGAGCGGGGTCCCACAGGGGTCGGTCCAAGGACCAGTGCTATTTCTGGCATATGTGAATGACATGATGGAAGGGTTAGACTCAGAAGTGTCCCTGTTCGCAGATGATGTGAAGTTAATGAGGAGAATTAAATCAGATGAGGATCAGGTAGGACTTCAAAGAGACCTGGACAGGCTGGACACCTGGTCCAGCAACTGGCTTCTCGAATTCAACCCCCGCCAAATACAAAGTCATGAAGATCGGGGAAGGGCAAAGAAGACCGCAGACGGAGTATAGGCTGGGTGGCCAAAGACTGCAAACCTCGCTCAAGGAGAAAGATCTTGGGGTGAGTATAACACCGAGCACGTCTCCGGAAGCACATATCAACCAGATAACTGCCGCAGCATATGGCCGCCTGGCAAACCTGGGAATAGCGTCCCGATACCTTAGTAAGGAATCGTTCAAGACACTGTACACCGTGTACATCAGGCCCATATTGGAGTATGCAGCACCTGTTTGGAACCCACACTTGATCAAACACGTCAGGAAATTAGAGAAAGTGCAAAGGTTTGCGACAAGGTTAGTTCCAGAGCTTAGGGTAATGTCCTACAAAGAAAGGTTAAGAGAAATCGGCCTGACGACACTGGGGGACAAGAGGGTTAGGGGAGACGATAACAACATACAAAATACCGAGTGGAATAGACAAGGTGGACAGACAGGATGTTCCAGAGATGGGACACAGAAACAAAGGGTCACAATTGGAAGTTGAAGACCCAGATGAGTCAAAGGGATGTTAGGAAGTATTTCTTCAGTCATAGTCAGGAAGTGGAATAGCCTAGCAAGTGAGGTAGTGGAGGCAGGTACCATACATAGCTTTAAGATGAGGTATGATAAAGCTCATGGAGCAGGGAGAGAGAGGACCTAGTAGCACTCAGTGAAGAGGCGGGGCCAGGAGCTGAGTCTCGACCCCTGCAACCGCAATTAGATGAAAACAATTAGGCGAGTATACACACACACACACACACACACACACACACACACACACACACACACACACACACACACACACACACACAAACACATACGAGCGCACTCACACATAGGAACACACAAGTACACACACACACGAGCGCGCACATACACGAGGACATACGAGGTTAACCAGTGATGACATTCAGCAGTAGTAAGCCAGCGGATGCTTAATCAATGATATCCATCGCTTGAAAGTCAGGGATTACTTATCACTGAACGGGTCATCATCTGCAAGGGCTGTTGTCAGGAGACAATCCCGTTTCCTGACTGACAAACTACCAGCTAGGATTCAGAACAGATTTTTTAAGATTTTTTCCTCCCGGTGTGGGGAGTTTACTGGGCATATCCACTTATCCTGTGGGTGACCATACCACCTTAGTTTAGTTTAATATTTTTATTATGCACCCCATACCCATCCTGTGGGCGGTAGTCAAAAGATTAGAGGTACATAATGGATTCAGAGACTGGATCGCAAAGTTTTGATAGCTGAATAAGTTACAAATGTATTGAACTCCAGGTAGATCTGGTCACAATCATGACCAAGTTACAAAGGTAATGAATCATCTACACGTCTATACATGGTTACAATCATGAACAAATTACAAAGTAATGAGCCATTCACACGTCCACACCCGGTCACAACTGTAATGAGTTATTAGTAAAAATATTAATTGGGTCACACACACATACACACACCCACACACACACACACACACAATGTGGTAATCATTTATTTATAGATAGAAAAGTCAGGGTATTTTTCCAGAATGGTTCGTAATATACCACTGTGGATAAATTACTTTGACATTTCTTGAACATTTCTGAGTGAGTTGTCTCTGAATTCATTAATTTTATCGCACTTCAGTACATAATGACGCAAGGTGTGACAATAGTCCATCTGGCATAGTTTACATTTCGTTTAGTCTGCATCTGGTGGTGATGATTTAACCTGTCAAAGATATTGTAACCCAGCCGGATTATTATAATTATTATAATCATGGGGAGCGCTAAATCCGTAGTATTATACAGCGCATATGGGAGGATGGAAGTTATTCAGGCCTAATTCGAGGAATTGGAGAACAAATCCAATTCCCTAGATCAAGAGCCCCTCACCAGAATCAAGGAACCTCCCTTGAGGAGAGCCCAGCCGGAGCCTGGCGGTAGTGACATCCAAGAGTCTGTTTATTTTGTTGGGTGCACCATAGACATGAGGCTCCTGCATGGTAGAATGATGATAGATGGACTGACTGGTGTTAATCTCCCTGAGTCTTAAATCAATAAAATTCGTTCATACCACCTTAAAGACAGTACTTTATGAATAAGTGACGTCGTTGGTAATATAAGTCCTTGGTTGTTTCAAGACGCTGGTATCCCTACCTGAACAAAATGACATTACGTATATAATTGCAGCAAAATATGCACATTCTTGTAAAACGCTTCGAACGTTAGTTATATCATGTGCTTATTGTTCAAGCACTATACAAAAAAAAAAAAAATCCGATGCATACTCTTACAGCGTACAAAAATCTTTCCAATACAGACTGTGTACAAAAATTTGAACTAGATTTCACGGTGTTACCTGGCAGTACGAGGCTGCTGCTGCTGCTGTCTTAACTCTCTCCTCGACTTCCACTCTTGTGAGTGGTCTTGATCTACTCAGACACGTCCTCCTTAGTGACAAGTTCAGTTCATTATCGTTCAGAGAATCAGGGAGAGAGAGAAGAGGTGTGAAGGGGAGGTAGGTGATCACAACCTGATGTTTTCACCTTGTTCAACCCATTCTCGCACCACGAGTGATATTCTTACAGATTCAGACTTCTTCTGGTTGTGGTTCATGATTAGTGGTTGTGGGTAGCAGGTCTCCTGGGGGGGGGGGGTAGACAGGAATATATATCAGACGGGGGGGAAGCGTCATCCCCTCGACTACGAAACTGAACATTTCTGGACAAAAAACTGATAGTGCATTGCTTGTGTACGAGATGAGTTAAAGATTCAGTTTGCTATATCAAGGAGTTAGTTTAGTTAAATATCTTTCTTATGTTGCCCATTCCCATGGTGCGGGCGGCAGTCAACACATTACAGAGGTACATAATAACTGGTCCAGGGACTGGGCTGCAAAGTTTTGATAGCTGAACAAGTTACAGTGGTAATGAACTATTTACATATTTATATCTGGTTATAATCGCAAGGAATTATTTATGCAGACACGATTTAGGTCACACACACACAGTGAAAGAAAAGGTTGTAATAGTGGTAATGCGTTATTTACAGTGGGCAATGTCAGATTTTTCAGAATGGTTTGTAGTACTCCACTATGGATAAAACTTTGACATTTCTTTAACATTAGAATGCGTTGTCTCTATATCAAGGACTATGAATGTGTTATACTGTAACTTGTGGAATTTTACGTTCTATGTGTTGCCTATATGGAAATCAGGACACTAAATTTATCAGGGCAGATTTCTTTCGCCACTCAGCCGTACACTTATGGACAGAACGTACCGAATGGATAGAACAAAGGAAGTGGATAATGAATAAATAAATTTATAGAGGTGGTCGAGAGAAAAGTGAGTTTCACTGACCGAGCGAGCTAGTGTGCGTGTGTGTGTGTGCGTGTGTGTGCGAGTTATATGCTCGTGTGTGTGTGTACGCGTGTGCTGTGTACATTGTTGGCTTTGGCTGACCAGTTTAAGCACAGCGCAGCGAGGCAGTGGACCCACACACTCAGTCTTCTGCAGCGGCTGAGTTGGATGGGAGTAGTTGTTCCCGCTTCCGTTTTTAAACAGACAGGGAGGAGCTCCTCTTGTGGTGCTACTGTTACACCTACTTGTGCTACCTCTAGTTGTATTACTGCCACATCAACTTGTGGTACCTCTACGTCTACTTGTGTTACTGTTACGTGAGTGATGCAGTAAGTAGGTTAAACGTGGGAAAAGTAATGGAGAAGATTGAGAGAGAAATACAGAAAGCAGGTGCAGATAAAGTGTTGGGATGATTGGTATGTTTGTTCAATGTGTGCAAGAAAGGATTAGGGAAAGTGAAAAAATAAATATCGGGCAAAAGTCTGTAGAGTGCGAGGAAAAATTGACGAAAGCTTGAACAGAAAGGCAGAAAATCGATAAATACAAGGCATACGAAAGAAAATGTGTGGAATAAATAAAATGTTGAAAGATGTTGTTTTATGAGACATGAATGTTTAAGGTAAGTAAATGAAGATTTTAAGCAAGAATGTGTTACGTCACCTTGTTTACATATGCGTTTACAGGGAATTACAGAGTAAAGGAGCTACAAGGCCTTAAAAGATAATACACCTGATATAAAGTGGAATTCGCCAGAGTTAATAAGTTTATATAGGTAGACGTATACGTAAATAGTTACATAAATTATAGTACATAGCAGCATATGTGTAGATTAACTAGGATAATCCCCAAAAGTCGAACAAAGCGGCGAAAAAAAAGACTTATTTCCATTGATGTCCTTTACTCCAGTGAGGACAGTGGAGCTGTGAGGCTCAGAAGAGAAACTGAAAAAGTTGGTGGGGAATATGAAGGTGCACGAAGAGGGAAGTTGAAAATGAACACATGAAAGAGTAAGAAGAGAGTAACTCACGAAATCGTAATGACAAGATTGCAAACACACCACAAAACAGTGAGGCTCGAAGTCATGGCAAGCGAGTCAAAAAATTAGCAGGCCAGTGCGTTAACCACTGGTCCATGCCGGTCTAATAATATTCATCCAACTATTTTTACACTATAAGAATGTTAGCTCAGGCCGGCATGAATCAGCTGTTAACTCAATGGCCTGCAGGTTTTAGGACTTGCTTGCTATTAGTTTGAGCCTACCCATTCTGTGATTTGTTTGCATATTATTACGATTTCACCATTTATAAAGGCAGCTTTCGTGGGACTTGAGCTAGAGCATGCAACCGCTATGCTAACGTGGGATTCGTCTGCTAAAAAAAAAATTGCAGCTGTGGTCATAGTGAGGCCCATGCTAACCTCCCTTTGTATAGAAATATACCTAGTTGGATGTACCTTGTTAGGCTGGCATGGACCAGTGTTTGACACATTGGTCTGTGAGTCGTATAACTCGCCTGCCACAGGTTAGAGCCTCACCCGTACTGTGATTTATGATGAGAGTAAGTAGTGGTATGAGAAATGAAAGACAGTACGTCTGATTGGAGGGAAGAAATATGAATAAAACAATGTACTCAGACATTTGTGAGTCGATGTTTCGGCAGATATGACAAAATTTTCTTCGGATTATTGACCCAGAGGATTAGTAAGCCAGGATAACTCAAAGTCAAGCCATCAGACTGCCTGGATTATTTCCGTTTCGGGTCCTTTAATCCTCCCCTTCAGACTGCGACCCACAACAGTCGGCTAATACCCAGGCGCCTACTTGAATATCAGAATGGTATACAATACCGACAGGTTGGTAGGCGAAACGTTTCGGAATAAAGTTGCCTAAATGTCTTACCTACCAGGCACCTACTTACTGCTAGGTGGACAGGGACAGTAAGTGTAAGGAGACATGCCCAACTTTTTCACTCGTCTGGGCATCAAATTGTCCTGTTAGTGTGTGAACTGATGCCACTAAGAATTGAGCCACCATCACCACAGGTAAATCAAAGAATAGATGAAGGAAAGAGAAGTTGTAGGTGTGTTGAATCTGTGGATAGATAGGGAAAGGTATATCAGTGCATGCAAAAATGGGGAAACATGAGTATAACTGTCTTGATGCTTTTAAATGGGTGTAAACATAGCTTTTGACTGTTGCAGCGAGGAGGAAATTGGAGATGATGTAATTTTTCTGTGAAACATGCGTGCGAGTTGAACATTATGTAGATAATAATGAAGATAAACACCAAACTGGTAGTGTGGAAGCTATAATGAATGAAAAGATGGGTTGTGAGAGGGTTCAGTCATGTTGAAAGAATGAATCATGACAAGTTAAGAAAGTATAGATCTGAGGTGGAAGAAAAGCGGTGCAGGGAACAACCTACGACAAACTATTTCAATTTGTTAAATTTCTTTTGAGGTTGTCACCGTCATTTTCTTAACACGTCTTGCAAACTTTCAAATACTGTTTTATTTTATGCTACGTTGGGTTAACTTAGTTTAAATTACCTAATCATATTAAAATGTATATTTAATCACAAAGTAAAAAAAAAAGTTATTGACAGTTCATGCAAAGAGAGGCTGAGCAAAACCAGGAAATGTTCATATCTGCACGAGCATCACTGGTGGTGCGAGAATGATTTGTCCAAGAAGGGTTGGAAGGTTATTAAGAAGGTATTGACAGATATTTGAGAATACAACAGACTTATATCAACATTTTAGACTGGAAATAGCACACACATTTATGGGGGGGGGGAAAGAGGGGGGGAAATTTTTACATATTAATGGAGTGTGAGCATAATAACATCTATGAAGGGAGTCAGGAAATTAGTTAACCGAACTAAAATTATAGAGGCTGGAAATTCAGTGTGTGTACACTGGATGTCTGGTGGAATGTTGATCTGATGGAACATCCAGTTTATCGTGGCTGGAGAATGTTGCAGTCTAATGTAATATCTACCTAGTTGCGTTGAGCCCCAGCTTATAAGCCCTGCTAAGTATTTTCGAGAATTGAGCTGGGTTATTATTAGTTACATTTATTGGGGAGCGTTGAATGCGTAAGGGTCATTCAGCATCAGGAAAATGTGAAGCAATCAGATTTCATCCACGAAAAGGAAGGGTAGCTTTAATTTTTTTTTTTAGATCGAGAACCCTTTACCGGGAGTTGAGCTGCAGCTCCCAGGCCTGCTGAGGGTCAAGCTCTAGTTGTTGGGCCTACTTTTCATCCACCAGGTTTGAGGTTTAGATCCAGCTTCTGGGCTTTACGCTGAGCTATTTAGAAATTGAATTCCAGGTTATGGCAGTACAACCTTAATGTGCTTCACACAGTTGTGTTTGTGGAAAAGGACACTTGTGAACAGTTCCCATTTATTAAATGAAACTTTTCGCCACAAATGGTTCCTTCGGTCCTAGGACTGAAGAAGTCACTCTTGGCGAAACGCTTCAACTTTAACAGATGTCCTGAACTATTTACAAGTGTCCTTTTCCACAGTTTGTCGGTATCACCATACCATTTACAGGCACAGTTGTGTTTAACATAGTTGAGCTCAAGCTTCTGGGGCTACTGTTCATTTTCTACGCCCTAACTCATTCCCACACCCCTACAAGTCACTCCTACCCTCCCCCTTTCCTTAAGGAAGGTTCCTTGACGCTGGTGAGGGGCTCTTGATCTAGGGAATTAGATATGTGCTCCAGTTCCCTGAATTAAGCCTGAATACCTTCCAGATACCTAAAGTCAGTGCCGGATCAGCCGGGCTGCGGCTCGTACGTTGGACTGCGTGCGGCCAGCAGTAACAGCCTAGTTGATCAGGCCCTGATCCATCGGGAGGCCTGGTCATGGACCGGGCCGCGGGGGCGTTGATCCCCGGAATAACCTCCAGGTAACAACCCTCCCCCACAGGCGCTGTATAATCCTACGGGTCTAGCGCTTCCACCTTGATTATACTACTAATAATAATCCTACCTCCCCACAAGTCACTCCCATATCCCTACAAGTTACTTCACCACAAATAAACTCCCCCACTGATTCCTCCAAATCTAGCACTCCTAAAATTCCTTTACATAGTCGCGTCACACTCACATCTTACCATATTCTTGTCTGTGGAACATTCCAAGAACGACGGTAGGGAAGCAACTCGTGCTGTAATTTATTAATTATTATTATTAATGCAGTCCTTAAATTTTTCATAGCAGTTAATTTGTCAGACATTAATAACAAAGGACACGACGAAGAGTGATTTGTAGTGTGACAACAGTGGAAACAGATGTGCAAATACACCCAATCATATAAGCTACCTCACAACTCAGTGCTAGAGCGATCGGTAAAAACAACGGAAAACATCAGGCCTTGCTCACAAGAACAGAAGAGACCCAGGATCGTTTATGGACAGTTCGAGATGTACGACAGGTTTTAACACTTGCTGCCCTTGTTACCAAGCAGTAGATACCTGGGTGTGGGTTGACTGTTGTGGGTTACATCTTGATGGACCTCAAGTGAACCCCACTGGAAATAAAATATACTGCTTGGTTGGTAGTGCACTCAGCTCACATATTGAGTGTCCGTGGTTCGAATCCCCGGTACGAGCGGAAACATTGGGCGTGTTTCCTTACACTAGCTATCCCTGTTAACCTAGCAGCAAGTAGGTACCTGGGTGTTAGCCAACTTGCGAGGGTCGCATCCTGGGGGCCAAAATTAACCTAAGTTGCCCGAAATGCTCTGCATAACGAGGATGGTAGTTAGGTATAATGTTTGTCAGGAAACAGAACAAGTGTTTCCTGACGCCGGTCTTAGTCATATGATGACCCACAGCTGGAACTTTTGGGCATCTGACCGAGGACTTCCGCTGGCTTACCGGTCCACCCCTTTAAAATCATGGTTATGATTATAACCATTATTAAGAGAATTAGCTGAGCATAATCAGGAGCTTTCTAAATATGTCACTGAAGTCAAGTAGATCTGTATGTTGTATCATGTATTTGTAGAACTAAAGATTATCATAAAAAGTCATCTGCGACAGTATAGCCTACAACTACAGGCATGGGTGCCAAATTTTTACTTTATTAAATATTTTTCAGTTTCCCATGACTTTCATGTGTCAGTTTTTTCTACCTTTCCATTACTTACAGCACGTGAGACGCCGCGACACTATTAGTGAAGGCAAGATGGATATGTTTGCTTCAGCCAACAATGTCATTCTCTCCACCAAGTCTACCGTTGACAACTTCTCCACGGGACTCAGCAACCTGGCCGACAGTGTAGGCACGGCGGCCTTCCTGGTCATCGTGGCCGGGGCCATGGTGGTCAGCGCTGGCCTCGGTGGCCTCTCCATCACAGGTCTGGCCAGGATGGACGAATATCTCGGCTGGCCACTGTGGTCCAGGATATTTCCAAACTGGCAAGAGGAGCTGGGTCCAGACCAACGCCATAACAGGTAACCTAGCCCTTAATCGACGTTCAAATTCGTAGTGCTACAAAAGTAGATCTACTTTTTTTTACATATTTTCAAAAATAACAAAAAAAAGTAGATAAAAGTTTTTTACACATTTTCACATATAAAACAAAAAAAATCTACATTTTTTTACATACTTTCAGATGTTGAAAAAACGTATATATTCGTTTGGACCATTTAAGGGGTAGATGAACAAGATGCATGTGCTGCACGGGGTAAATTTTTCTGATAAATTTCGCCTGCACAATAGGCTTCTTCAGTCGAATACAGAGGAGACTAAAATGGTGTAGGCAGTAAAGAGACTGGGGTGCTCTGTCCTTCAATATTGATAGAAGTGGTGGTCAGTTTCTCAGCCTTGAAAGGGATACTTCGTTACTATAGCATTAATCACTCTGGTAATATTTAAGGTTCTTTGAATTTCCGTGAGAGTAACACCTTAAAATACATTACTTGGGTGAATTATTATTATAATCAAAACTAAACACTAAACTCACCAGGGAAGTAGGGGTGAAAACCTAGCTGGGATTGGCCAGAGGATGCTTAGGTATATATAGGATCATCATCTGATTTAGACCTGTGTTAGGAAATACTTTGCTATTTCGTTACGTGCAAAATACGATCACTACCGATGATCTGTGTAATTTTGTTGCATTCTGAACTCTTTAGACATTCAATTTTCTTTAAATGGAGAGGAAAATCTGTCTGCAACAAGCCTATGGATCGAATGGTTAACGACGGTTATACAGCACTTGTAAGTTTAGTTAGCTTAATATGTTTATTATGCACCCCATACCCATCCTGTGGGCGGTAGTCAAAAGATTACAGAGGTACATAATTGGTCCAGGGACTGGACTCCAAAGTTTAGATAGCTGAGCAAGTTATAGAGGTAATGAACTCACAATTTACAAAGGTAATGAACTCACAATTTACAAAGGTAATGAACTCACAATTTACAAAGATAATGAACTCCAGGTAGGTCTAGTCACAATCATGACAAGTTACAAAGGTATTTACAGATTACAGAGGTACGTAATGGGTCCAGGGGCTGGGCCCCCAAAGTTCTGATAGCTGAACTAGGTACAAAGGTAATGAACTCACAAGTTACAAAGGTAATGAATCCTGTAAGAATGGTTACTTACGTTTATACATGGCTACAATTATGAACAAATTATAGAGTAATGAGCAATTCACACTTCCACACCTGGTCACAACTGTAATGAGTTATTGGTGCAAATATTGATTGTTGAGTCACACACACACACACACACACACACACACACACACACACACACACACACACACACACACACACACACACACACACACACACACACACTCACACACATTCATACACACACAAACACACACAAGCACACACACACACACACAGGAGGGCCAGGAGCTAGGACTCGACCCCTGCAACCACAAATAGGTGAGTACACACTCGTGGAGGAGTCACGCGGTTTGAGCTCGTGTTTTGGTGGTAATTTCTGACTGTGCCATAAGGAATAGTGTGGGATATAGGCGTGTGCACGCATAAGAGTGCATATAATCACTTAAGCCCCGAAAAAAGGAAATATAAGTGATCACAGAAAAGAAAAAGGAAATAGTGACTAAGTGTTTAGTGGGGGCCGTTGGAAGGGTGAACGGTTGTGTCAGGCCTCAATAGTGTTGCCATAATAACGCAGTGGGGTATTTGAAGAATAAGTGCGACTCAAGACCAGCGAGATAAGAGATATATATAGATGTGTCAGTAAATACAGTGAGTGAAAAATTTAGAAGAGCTAGAGACTATAGTGCATACAGGAAGTTAGTGGAAAAATTAACGAGAAGCATCAAACATCTTCAACTTCTGGGACAGGACAGACGCGCAACGTTACTCCACTGCCAGCCGCAAGTAATATTCACCTAGTTTAAGTTGCATGGGGTCAATAGTACCTGTCTCTAGCTGGAATTGGGGGTCACTCTCCTCGAGCTATCAGAATTAGAATAAGCAGCATTTACTGGAATCTAATAGAATTTAGAGGTAGCAGCATACAGACGAAGCCTAGTGTATTTATTTTTGAACATAATTTTAATGCATAAGACGTACAGGGGGAAAAAACCCAAGAGATGGGGTACATATTAGTAATATGGGGAAAAAAGGACTTTTTACAAAAACATAAAAAACCAGTGAGAACGGCTCTGCTGTTGGGCATTTGAATTTGTAGCACACCACACAACACACCACATGCACACACACACCTAAATAAGCGCCACGGGGGTCTGGGGGGTGCAGACTGGGTAAAAAGGGCTCTGAGAACCTTAGCGTTGAAAGGCGTGCAATAACGCTAGCAGTAATCAGTGGTAGTGGAAGCAGTGAAAATACTACGAGTGAAAAATTTAAATTTTATTATTTAAAAGAAAGTGAGAGGAAAGCTGAAATCATAATATTTCAAAGCGCAAACCTTTTTTGGGTTTAGGCATTTTTCCCAAATTTGGCGGGGTAGGCCTGAAGAAAAGTGACGTCACGACAAGTTGTGCACCATTAAATAAAATAAAGGGGTTATATAATGTAAAGTGTAACTATCATCAGTGAAGAGTGACATCGCAGGGGGAAGCGGGAGTATGAGAATTAGGTTATAAACATCAGGGGTGAAGGTTCCAAAATAGGGTTTAAAGGCCTACATACGACACTCCGTCATCAGAGCTGGCAACCGTCAACCCCCCATTGAGGCAAGTTTTTTTGCCTATTTGGGTTTGCTGTTGACGGCCCTGGCGGGTTGCATACTTTTTTGATAGTGGGCACTCCTCCTGCAAGCTATTCCCGAATTAAATAGAAATAGCATAATGGAATTGTTTTGAAAAGTGTGGAAGGTAGGTGGACAAGCTTTTAAGGGCAACATTTAAAACGGTGCGGGGGTCGGGCAAGTCCCAGGAGGGTTGTGTCAGGGCACAAGAAGTTGCGGCCCGTCATTTCACCACCCAAGCACTCCCTCCACACAACCACACACAAACACACACAATGCACACCGCAACAGGCAGTGTGTAAAGTCCTCTTCCCTTGACAAGGAAAATGAAAAAAACCCCAAAAATTAAAAGTAAATCCAGAAAGGGCAATAAGTGGAGAAGTGATAATTGGGAAAGATAAAAAGAACTAAATTTGGCCTACAACGATCTTTTAACCACACCACCTACCCCCCTAACCCTCCCTCCCCCAACACAAGCAAAACACCCCCAAGGGGGAGACACTACACACTACAACACACACCACACACACACACACAACACAAAAACCAAAAAAACATACACCACAAAAAACACACACACCATATCACACACCACAACCACCACCAACAACCCCCCCCACAACCAACACACAACACACAACCACACACACACACACCACACCACACCCCCACACACCACACACACAAAAACCACCACACCCACAACACACACCACACAAAAAAAACACCCACACCACACACACCCACACAAACACACACACAGACATAACACCCCCCAAAACACACCACACCACCACACACACACACACACCCCACACCACAACCCAAAACCATGACACACAACCCACACCCTCCCCCACTTGACACAAACACGTCCCCCCCTCCCCTAAAACCCCCCCCTCCCCTTCCCCAACCCCCCCTCACCTTAGGCCCCCTACCCCCCCCCAAACCACCTAACCCCCCCCCGAAAACCCTCTAACCCCCCCAACTACTCCCTCCCCCCCAAAAGCCATCCCCCCCCCCCAGACCCTCCTCCCTTCTCCCCAAAACCTCTAAACCCCCTCCCCCAATATCTCTACCCCCCCAATAACTCCCCCCCCTCCCCCACAACCATCCATCCCTCTCCTCCTAACCATCTATTCCCTCCCCCCAACCACCCCCCCCCCTTTGTGGAGCAACCCGGGGGAAACCCGAACCAGGTGAGGCAAGGGGCTCCCAAGGAGAATTGGGGGGAGGATGGGGGTAGAGCTCAAAAAAAAAGGGGGGGGGACTGGGGAAAGGGGACTAATGAGTGGAAAGGAAAATGGAAGAGGGGGTTGCAGCAGAATGAGAAGTGGAAGAAAAAGGGCCCAGCAGCGAATCAAGAGAGAGAGATTAAAGAGGGGTGGAATTGAAAAACAAGAGACAAAGATATTACAGAAGTAGCATCGGCAATGGTACATCAAACACAGACAAAGGTTTGAAAAAAAGCATGGAAACTAAACTTATGCAGAGGTCCTGTCAAACCCAAAGGAGCCAAAACAAAAGGGAGGGGGCACCTAGGACAGAATGAGAGGGTTGGGGAAAACATTGAAGGAACCCGGACTGTGCAAGGCCTTACCCGATACCTGTGGGGGGCCCGGAAAAAGGTGAGCGGAAGGGCAAACCCAAAAAGCATAGGGGCCATAATAGGGGGGGAGAAGGAAGGAACACTCCAGGAAGAAATAAAACACATCAAAGGGTGAAGGGAGTCAAAAGTGGGGGGTAAAGGGAGAGATCCCTGTTTTTTCATATGGGGTTTGACGAAGCTAAAGGGGAAACTTTTTGTTTAAAGAAAGCAGGAAAAGGGGGGGGAAAAAAGCGATTTTAAGGGTTTTTAGAAGGTGATAGGCCCGGGGGGGCATGAAACCCCCGGGGGCAAATTTTGGGGAATTTTGGGTGGTTTCCAAAAAGAAAAGGAATCGGCCCCTCAAAGTAATTTTCAAGGGGGAAAAACAACCCCAAAACCCTGATCCGCAGGGGAAAGCACGGCTGAGAGGCCCGCAGGGGGTTCTTGGGGGTTAACCCCAGGGGGAAAAGAACAAAGGGCGAAAGGGAAAACGATGAAAGAGAGGTTCAAAAACGAGAGGGGGAAAAAGGGAGGAAATGAAAAAAGGAAAGAATAAACCCCGGGTCAAAAAAAGGGGCAAGCACCCCCCCAGAAAACCCCCTGCAAAGGCTCCCGCCAAAAACACCCCCAAGGCAAAATGAACAATCCAAAAAACCCAACCCTCA